GTTCATTGTTACTGAGTTTCAGAATTCTCCCCATTCTCTCATGGAATGGATTTTTGTTGGTTAAATATCCACTGATATTCTGGGTTGTGAAGGTGTGGTATGATACAGCAGGACACGTCTGCTAGAAAGAACCTTTACTTTAAGATGAAATAAAGGTTCATGGAATCAGGCTGAGAGATACAGAAGGATAGCCATAGCAGCTGCCCCTTCACTTTTGTGAAGCCCCTTCATAGGCTCTTCTTGCACAAAGAATTTGTCTTCTCCAGTGTTACACCTACATGGAGAGTGCATGGCTTGGTTGTTTTGCACACACAAAGCTTTATTTTTAAGGTGTTTTGGATGTACCGACTTGGTTTTATCCTTAGTGTAGCAGAGTGACTCAAGTTCCAGTAACTGATTACTTAAAGAGAGATTTTCCGCTCTAAATGATCTATTTGATATTGTTTATCACTTTGTGCTTTTCTGGAGTCTTTTGAAGAGAAGTTGTTTCTTGTTGGTTCCATGCAGCTTGGCTCTCTCTCTATATATAAAACAAGGAGATGCAGTATTTACACATCTATGCTCAAGAAATGGTAGCCATACTTCTTCCTACATTTTCATTTTATTAGAAAATGTTGAAAGACTTTGTAAGAGAAAGAGTACTTTTCATTTGTGATTTGAACATAACAGGGTTCAACAGATACTACTCTGCTTTCCATCTCTGAGCCTTTATGTTGAAAAGCACATTCAATTTAAATGATATTGTTACCCACTGATTTGTGTATACCTTGTACTAGCTGCCTTCTGCCTGCAGAAATCTCTGCTTGCATGACTGGAGAGTCTGCTTTGAAGGGGCTTCTCAGAGCGGTGCCTTGGTGAACCCTGCAGCCCTTCCCAGTCTGCTCGGGGAAGATGGAGCTTGTGCTGGCCCCACAATGGACACCCACTGGGTCCTCACAAGGTCTTTGAGTTCATTGATTGTCCTCTCTCTGGAGGTCCCGGTCTATGAGCACATGCCACACGTTCAGCTTCAGGGACATCACAGGCTCCATTGACTGCCATGCTGATCATGGCTGTGGTGTTGGGTTGTCCATCTGGTGATGGTTCCAGCTTCATCCTTTCCTATGTGGCTGTGCCT